AAAAAAAAAAAAAAAAAAAAATTGTGGAATCTTTCACTGACTGAAAAATTTGTATTTAATCCTTAAAATTATCTCGTTACCTAACTCGTCCAACAATGGGCCAATTTTTCCTTCAATGATTACAGCTTTACATGCCCTCCTTTTTTCAAGCTCATATAATTAATTATCCAAGTCCCCTCAATTTTCAATGTTTTTCTCTCCAATCCTCACGTTCTGGGCAATTTACAAAAGGGCCCCATGGGGCCCGCCACTAAAGCTTCCCCCATGCCATGCTGCTGTTGCCTTTTGAGGCTTTTTTTTTTACCACACCCCGCAAAATCACGTGACGAACAACTCATAGTCACGTGACTTCATGTCTTAGCATCGTGAAAGTGTCCCACGCGCCACCGCCCATGCCGTCCAGACTCGATGGATTCAATTTTAATTGATATATGAGTTTAAAATGATGATTAAGGAGGGTTGATAATTATTTTTCCTTTTGATTTTGACAAAATTAATGATAGCATTAACTGTAATTATGTAGAATCCATTGCAACCGTTTGGAAATTAAATTTTATATATTATAACAACAATAATTTAATTTATTTATGCTTTCATATAATTATTATGAACTCATCGATACGAGAGTGACCAGAAACAATTTGTGGGAAAGATCATCTCAATCAAATGATACATTTCTCTATTTATCAAAAATATATACACAAATTAGGGCTACATATACTTAAAGAGGTGGGATCTCATGCACGTGAAACACCATAAGAGGGTGAGTCTAGATACACCATAGTGAAGTTTCATACCAAAACCAATTGGTAGTAGGAGAAGTAGTTCATTAGACTTATAAGTTAGGTCTATTTTCCATGTATTAACGATGTGAGACAACTCACATGGGATATTCTAATACGCCCCCACTTGTCTTGTGAGTCCTCCATACGAAATCCAAGCCCACAGAATAGGACGAGTAACAAGTACGTTATCGCATTTTCCACGTAGGACAGCTATGGTACTATAATACGAGAGAGACCATACACAATTTGTGGGAAAGATCATATCAAATGGATGATACAACTTGTACGGGTACGGACCGAACGGATGAGTGTAAAGTCAGACACGTGGCGAATCTATGTACGCGCGGAGAAAACGAGCTGAACCGGTTGCAAGAATGGCAAGTGGAATACCGAACGGACATGGGTGAGAATGTAGAATCAACTCTAATCATTACTAGATATTATCCGTACCAGGTGCATTAAATGCAAAGGGATTCGGAAATCACTGATCTAATGGTGTCTACTAAGCACGGACACGTGTCGCGATATGGATAAGCCATTAATTTTGAGATTAGATTGTATAGTACAATAGCATTAAATGTATAATGACTAATATCCAAGAATATCTTGTAGATAAAAATAGAAAATGAAAAACCTAAAATAGATTGTAATAAGTCCTCGCATTTCCTATAAAAGGAGAAAGAGGCAATTACATGCAATGAGTAAATGCTCTCATTAATACTCTACAAGTCAACCATCCGACCTACAAATAAAATTGAATCACATAAATAACTCTATTCGTGCAGACCGAACAGAGTGCACATTCTAGTGCACAGTTCGAACACATTGTTGGTCATTTTTAAACATCAACAATTGGCACTAGAGGGCATCTTCAACATGTCAATAACAACAGCATCGTCGTCAAGCCAAAGTCGCCGCCGTGATGAGCCGGAGGAGAAAGAAAACCGACGTAACCCCCAACCCACCACGACGGACTATTCAACTTTCTTCAAAGATCCGAATTTTGTCAAAGGGATATCAAACCTTATGACACAAATCCGACCACCAACATCATAAGCGCCAAAAACTCCGGCGAAAAAGGACTTGACCACCACACTCAAGGGCAAAGAGCCGCTGACCCAAGAGGAGACCTCTCAGTCTCGCGAGAATACCACTAAAAGCCAGAAGGAAAAAACCACCACTCGGACATAGTGGGAGCAGACGGACGAAAGTCGTTCGGTGATGGACTCGCGCACGCGCCGTACCAATCGATCAGCCTTTAATGACACGGGAAAAGCGTGGTCGAAGACGATCTGAGAAAGAAGCTACTCAAGAAGCGAACAAGCCATGCCGAAGAGAAATAAATGAGAAAGCTCTGTAAAAGACTGTACGAACTCGAAGCTTGACGCACGAGCCCAAAACAAGCCATTTCGGCAAAGCCGGACCGAACTGAAGCAGTCCCCAAACGAACCACATCGCAGGGAAGAACTGAAACCACTTCGACCGAGTCGGAATTGCCACGAACGTTTGATAGTTTGCAGGAACGGTTGCCGGAGAAGATCAAAGTCCCACAGATCGGATTCTATGATGGGACGAGTGACCCAGATACGCACATTGGGTTGTTCATGTCATGGTTGGACCTACACGGGGCACGAGACGCCCTACGATGCCGAATGTTCTCCTTAACACTGAGAGAGAAAGCACAACGATGGTATCATTCACTACCCCCACATTCGGTCCACAGTTGGCCTCAACTGAAGTCAATGTTCCGCAAAATATCTGGGGTTACCTTTAGGATATGACAATTCCAAAATTGGAACTTTTTCTATTGTGGAGGAATCAGTTGAAAAAAAAAAAAGAATTTTAAATTGGAAAAACAAACTTTTTTCTTTTGCAGGTAAGGAAATTCCTTTGAAATCAGTGTTGAGTGCCCTATCTCTTTATGCAATGTCTTTTTTTCTTCTCCATAAGGCTACCAATAAGAAGGTGGCACAATACGTTGCTAACTTCTGGTGGAGCTCTAGAAACCTCTTGAAGAAAAATATCCACTGGAAATCATAGAAGCTTCTCACATTGCCAAAGCCTAAAGGAGGACATTGATTCTTCGATTTGCACTTAATGAACAAGACCGACATTGCAAATCAAATATGGAAAGTTCTCACAAAGTCAAACCTTCTAGTAAGCAAGATTTAAAAGCAAGGTATTTCAACTAGGAGTCTTTCTTCTCTGCAGCTAAAACACAGAACAACTCGTGGATGTGGAATTCTTGGCTCTCTGTTAGAGATTCTCTACATAATGATTTTAGTTATGAGGTTGCAAATGGTCATATTCAAAATATGGGATCATCCTTGAATCCTATCATTCCAAGCTTAAAACCAAGAAAATCCTCTCATTCAATAAGTGGCATGCTCTAGTTAAGGATCTTATGGACTCTGATGAGAGGAATTGGAACAATGAGCTGGTTTGCACACTTTCTCAAAGGAATAAAGTGAATCTATATTAAGCATAAATGGGTTAGAGCCAAATAAAGAGGATAAACTTGTTTGGGATAGTGGAGGTAAGGAAAAACTCCAGTCAAATATCTTTACTTTAAGCTGACAGGAGACAAATGAGAGCTGATGGATGTGGATGAGAAGAGCAATGAACAGATGGAAGCTAAGAAGATGAGGAAGAGAAGTTAAAGCCTCAAGATTAACGGGAAACTTAAACATTTAATTTGAAATGTGCTACTAATCTTCTCTTAGTCAATGTCAACCTTACCCGGAAAGGTATCTATTTAGACCCCATCTGCAACGCTTGTGGTGAATCTGAAGAAACCTTGGAGCACATGTTCTTTCTTTATCCAAGAGCACAACTTATCGGGAACTTTCCCCTCTTCAATGGGATGGTCAGACCTGGACTCAAATTGCTTCAAGAACTGATGGACTGAACTCTGCAGCATCAATAAATCCACCACCTCAAAAGCCAGACTCTAACTCATTGCCTACAATTTATGGGGCATCTGGTAATTCAGAAATCAACTCACTTGTTATGTTTATGGATGAGGTATTGTTATGGATGGAGTATTGTTATGTTTATGCTTTGAGTTGATGGGTTGTAGTTGTCTCAGGTTAATGGTTTTTGTAGTTGCTGCCCTTGGTTCTTGCTGATTCTTGTATGTTCTTTGATGGGTTTATGTTGTTTTGTTTCTTTGGGTTGTTCTTCATTTGCTTGTTGTTGTAGTTGTCCCTGACTGTTAGTTGCTTTGGTTGTTGATGTCAGATTTTCTTTTTCTTCGCTTTGGTTGGTGTTTTTTTTTTGCTTTGTGTCCTTGAGTAGCTAACTAGGTTCTCTTAGTTCAGTGGTTAGTTGCTATTTTGAATTTTTTTTTGTAGAAGAGATGAGAATCATGCTACCGGCTTAAATGCTTTTGTGGCTGTCGGATGCAAGATGTCTCATCTTTGTTAGGTTTGTTATCCTTTTTGCGTTTAGGGCACTTGCCCTTATAGTTTCCCTAGCCTATCTTTTGATAGTACTTTGAATTATTTAATGTCCAGTTTATAATTATTTTTCCGAGTTATAATATCTAACGTTTCGAAAAAATATATACATATGCATTTACCTAACCACTTTATATTGATCGGTTGTGATCAATCTCACTATTTCTTTTTAATAAATTAATGCAAAAACAAATAATTGCTCCAACTTTTTACATAAATAGTAAAATAAAATAAAAATGTCAAACCTAAAGATATCTACTACGTATTACAATTGATAATATTATTTTAAGGTTCATTTTCCAAAACAAAACAAATCACAAATTCTTACCTCAGTCAAAAAGCACTCGTATTAGGTAGACCACAGTTGAATCTCCAGTCGCCTCCTCGTGTGACCCGCCCGCACAATGGCTCGTCCCTCCTCCACGCGCCGCCGTCGAGAGTACGCACATCCTTCACAAAAAAGCGCTTGCATATAAAACGACAGGCAAACCTGAACTTGAAGGACTTTTCGCCTTTCTCCAATATCCAACGCCCTGGCTCTGTGTAGTGTGTACTACTACACAATCTACACTGCCCTGTTTCCTTCTTGACCTCCATCTCCCACTTCCTCTTACGCTCGCCGCGCGCGGTGGCGCGTGAAATTTCAATTCCGGGCATGAGGTGGGTCTACCCCGCCAAAATCGGCGGTGGCGGGGAGGGGAAGGCGGTGGTTTTCCGGTCGAGGCTGAAGTGGGTCGGGCTTTTCGGGCTTGTTCTCTCTGCTTTCTCTCTCTTCACCCACTTCCTTCTCGCGAGGTACAGCGATGGTTATGCCGTCTCTGAGTACAAATCCTCCATTACCATCTTTTCTTGGAGGCCCACTTTCGAGGATGCCGATTTTTCAGCCGGTGTAATGTCATAAAGATCCCACCTTTTTTTTTTTTTTTTTTTTTCCTTTGTTGCTTTGATTTGTTGTTTTAAATCTGGATTTGTGTTTCTTTGGTGAATTATGGAAATGAACAGAAATTTTTGGGGTGGATTCAGATAATGTAGTGTTTGGTGGGGTCAATTAGTAGGGGTTGTTTTTAATTATACTTCTTTTCGCTTGCTTTTTTAAGTGTAATTGTTTCCAAATTCCGATGTTAATACTTTTTTTTTTTTCCTGTCCTTGTGTTTGTGAATTATAATGTTCTTTCATCTTTGTGATGTTCTTTTTGCCGTCTTTCTCGGCTTGATGTATGAATTTCTCTTTAAGGAAATACTTTCCTTTGTGGGTTTTAAGGTTAAACAACTTTGACCTGTGGCAATCTTATCATCATGCTCCAGCTTAATCTCTAGCCATGTTTACCTAATTTTTCAAAAGTTCTCCTTTGTGCAGACTCCATTGTATACAAGGCTTTGGGCTCCAGTTAGGGATCTTGAATCTGTACATCCATATTCAAATCCCAGAGGAAATTATGTAGGTTAGATCTGCTTGCCTTTCTGTATGCTTCTGTATTACTCTTCAGTTGCCTGTATAAGGAATATGCACAGTTCTGTTTGGTTCTTGTAACTCATAAAAATGTAGTCTTTGAAAAAAAAAAAAATCGAAAGTATCGATCATTGTACTAGCAGTTGATGTGTGAAACTAGTTTATTAGTAGGCTTTCTTTATTGATGTTGTAATACTGTGGATTGGTTCTTGTAATCATAAAAATGTAGTCTTTGGAAAAAAGATTGAAATTTTATTGATAATTGTACTTAATGTTGATGCTTGAAAGTAGATATCAGAACTAAGTTATTAGTAGGCTTGCTTTATTGATGTTGTTTTGCTGTGGATTGATTATCTTACAGCTCCTGGCTCGCAAAGTAGTGGATTCGTGTTTGTAAGAATACGAGGAGGTTTTCACGAAATCAGGAACTCGGTGAGAGATTTAATTCAGTCCCAGTAGTATCATTCGGTTTTCTCTATTTTTTTAAACTTATCAAAATGTCAAAAAAAAAAAAAAATGACAGATTTGTGATGTAGTTGTGGTTGCTCGGCTTCTCAATGCCACTTTAGTTATTCCCGAGATTCAATCCACGACGAGTAGTAAAGGAATCAGGTTGGTATCTTTCTTACATGTAAATATGAAGAAGTGTTTGAAATTATTTTCTGAAAAAAAAAAACTCTAATAATGTTAATTATTTTCTATGCAGCACAGAGTTCAAGAGTTTTGCCTATCTCTACAGCGAGGATCAATTCATTTCGACTTTAGCGGAAGATATTAAAATCGTGAAGACACTCCCAAAGGATCTGAAAGGAGCAAGGAGGAAGAAAGAAATCCCTTCTTTCAAAGTGCCTTATTCGGCTTCTCCATATTTCTATCTTCACCATGTTTTACCAGTTTTGAATAGACACTCGGTTGTTGAGCTAGTTGTTCCTGATGGAGGATGCTTGCAGGTATATCATAATCTTGTATGTAATGCACAAAAGTCTAATTTTGTTTATTACTCATAGACTGTTTACTGCTATAGGATACAGAAAATTATATCTTGCATGAGTCTGATTGAACAAACATATGTATTATAGGCCCAATTCCCTCCACAACTCGAAGAATATCAGAGGCTGAGATGCCGAGTTGCTTTTCACGCTTTAAGGTTCAGACAGGAAGTCCATGAACTAGCTACCAAGATCTTGTACAGATTACGAGCCTCTGGACGGCCATTTATAGCCTATGATCCTGGAATGACGAGAGATGCTTTGGCTTATCATGGCTGTGCTGAACTCTTTCAGGTAATCATTATCTGAATTTCAGGATAAAGGATTAAAAATAGCTCTTTGGTTCATTAATAGAGTTTTACATCATCTAATTAGTGTTGTAAGCTGACAACTTTTTTTTTTTCATCAGGATGTACATACTGAGCTAATCCAACATAAACGTGCATGGATGATAAAACGTGGGATTGTGAAAGGGAACCTTTCTGTCGATTCGGCTGAGCAACGTCTAAACGGTTTATGTCCACTTATGCCAGAGGAAGTAAGTGACATTCTCATTTCTCACCTGTTTTTCTCTTTCCTTTTTTTTTTTCCTTGGATTAAGGTTATGTTTGGTAAAACTACCTGATAGTTATTAAGCTGGCTTATAGTTTATAAGTGATTTTCGAGCTTATAGCTTATAACTTATGACTTATAACTGAAAAATTAGCTTATATTATAAAAGTGTTTGGTAAAATTAGGGTTTAAATAAAAATTTCAACAAACTTGTATGTACAGCTATCCAAAAGAAAAGCTTATGAGATAAGCTCGAGTTTTTAAAAAAAAAACTTGTACTGCCAAACGAAAATTATTTGAATATAGGAATCTTATAAGCTAACCAAATAAGCTATAAGTTACCTTATTTGGTTACCAAACCTGGCCTAATATTGTACTCTGTGCAATGGCCTCGTAAAATTCTATAGCATCTTAAACTCATAAAAAAATCATTTTTTTTTTTTTTTTTTCAGATAGGCATTATTCTCCGAGCGTACGGCTATTCATGGGACACGATCATATACGTATCGGGCGGGGAAGTCTTCGGCGGGCAGAAGAAACTCATCCCTCTTCACGCCATGTTCGAAAACGTCGTTGACCGGACATCTCTAAGCGTCTCGTGGGAGCTGACCAAAATGTACGGTCGTGAGGCCAATCTTGTCGACAAGCATCCCAAGAGTACCCCACCACCATTTGTGAGAAAAGAGAACAAGAAGAGTAAACAAAACGCTTGGAAAACTATCGGGCTTAGGCCCAGGCCCTTACCCCCTCCTCCAAGCCGGGCCAAGTACCCTTACAACATCGAGGGGTGGTGGGGTTGGGTTGCAGAGAGTGACAATGAGCCCGCTAGCACGGTTATGGAGCTGAGGACCAATGCACATAAATTGCTTTGGGAGGCCATTGACTATATGGTCTGTGTCGAGGCCGATGTTTTTGTCCCTGGCTTTGACCGTGATGGACGAGGGAACCCGAATTTCGCAAGCATGGTCACGGGCCATCGGATGTATCGATCGGCTGCCTCCAAAACATTCCATATAGATAGGTACATTTTTATATTTCTTAAAATTTTTCCTCCTAAAATCAAGAAATTACCCGTGAACTTTCTTTCGATATTGAAAAGACTCAGATCTTTTTTGATGGGCAAAGAGTCATTCATCTCATGTTTCTGGGTTTTCATAGGCCCCGAAAAATTCGGTCTTTCTTGATCATCTGTGTAAAAAATTGGCATCTTATAGATAGGTACAATTTTTTTTTTTTTCGTCCTAAAATCAAGAAATTACCCCTGCACTTTCTTTCTATATTGAAAAAAACTTGATCTTTTTTGCTGGGCAAAGACTCATTCATCTCATATTTCTGCGTTTCCAAAGGGCCCTGAAAAAATCTGTCTTTCTTGATCATTTGGGTAAAAAATTGGCATTTTATAGTTAGGTACTTTCCTCCTTAAATCAAGAAATTACCCCTGAACTTTCTTTCTATATTGAAAAGACTCGATCTTTTTTGCTGGGCAAAGACTCATCTCATGTTTTTCCGCATTTTCATAGGGCCCGAAAAAAGTGATCTTTCTTTCTTGATCATTTGTGTGAAAAACTGGCATATTGATTTTTGACAGCTCTGCTGAAGGATGTAAAAGAAAGCTTTTATCATCATATTATGATTTCACAATTTCCGACTCTAAACAGGAAAGAGGTAGCAAGACGCCTAGAGGAAAACCGAGACCACATTTACCAAGCCAACCACACATGGATAAAGTCCCTTCGAAAGCACCTCAAGAAACACTTGCTCGATGGGCCGACAGGCGAGCTGGAAAAATCGAAACCGCTATCCTTCCTATCTTTCCCCATCCCAGAATGCTCGTGCTCGAAATCGAGCCTATCGGTCCCCAGCCCGCGGGCCCATCCAAGAAAAGTGCTGCGGTTGCTCAACGCCTCAAGCCCGCTGTTCAATATCTTGCGGACCATGCAAAGGTGCCCCTCGTGGATTGATACCGGACCTACGGTGAGCCAGGCCGTCGAGGAGGATGATGTAAGTGAGGATGAGTTGGACCCGCCGGAGACCACCGCCGGCCTTCTTTTCCGGCAGGGTGGTGAGAGCAACGAGCTGCAGCCGGAGGCTGGCGGCGGCAAGGAGGAGGAGGATCAGGAGGAGCTTGAAGGCGGGGAGAGGTGATTTTATACGGGAAGATTTTCTCGAAATATGGTGGGCCCGCCAGATGGGCCTCGGAAAAAACCGTTCGGTTTTCGAGTGGGAATTTGATCTTTGTGGTTTTGTGAATTGGGTGTTTTTGTGAGGTTAAGTGTTAAAGTATTGGTGGAAAACTGAAAGGAGAATGTTGTGCAGCTAAGCAAGTGTAGCTTTGGAAAGTTTAGTAATTGGCATGAAAGGAAAAGAACTAACCCCTTTTGTTCAGTATGGAAAATTAATTTAGGTTAGCGGTTTCTACATTATTGCTTGTGAAAAACGCATTTTGCAGTCTAATTAATGGTGTACTAATGTACTATCAGAGCTACGAAACGAAAAGAGCCGCTTGTTAGCTTGGTTCGGCTCGATTTTGTTTCAAATAAGTGAACCTAAGCTTGTTGAAAGCTTGTTTAGTTAATGAGATGGGTTCGTTTCGACTCGTTAAGACTCGAAAATAAAAATTTTATATAGTTTTTTATAACTAATATTGATAAATGAATTCAACTTCAGTTTTAAAATGGGCTAGGCTTGGCTCATTAAAAGTGTTGGCTACCATGAGCGCCAGTTACATTATGGTCCTTTCTTTACCCACTAACCATTTTTGGAAGATTTTATTTTAGGGGCCAATTTTGGACATTTACTTGACAGATTTTTTCTTTGGAAGGTTTTAATTCGAGTTACTAAGGGCTTGTTAGGTTACACTTTACAAATATATTGATATTTGATTTTTTTTTTGTTAATCATTATTAAAATATTCACTTGTCTCACATCCTTTATATAGGAAAAATAAACTTAATTTATAAGTCTAATGAGCTACTCCTCATTCCAATTAGTTTTGAGATGAAACCCTATTTAGGCTTCATCTGAGTATTCTCTGCTTATGGTGCGCTTCACGTGTGTGGGACCGCACCCGTTAATTAAAATAAAATAACTAAAATTGAGTTGATATAAAAGATGAGAAAATGATTAAAAATGATAGATAGTTAAAATTATGCGAATAGATAGATAATGAATAAGTTGACGTGATGTGTAAAAATAATTGATGATAATAATAAGAGTTTTATGGTTCAAATCCATTCAACAATTTAAAATTATTAAAGGTGAATTAACTTGAAAAATCGAAAACTATTTGTTAGAATATCACTCGTTTGTCCCACATTGTTTATACAGGGCAAATAGGTCTAACTTATAAGCCTAGTAGGCTACTCTTCCTTCCACCAATTGGTTTTGGAATGAAACTTCACTTGGGTTTCATTTGAGCTCACCTTGTTGTGGTGCGTTTCACGTGCGTGAGTCTGCTCGTGCTCGTAGTTGTCCCATATTTTTTATACAAGGCAAATATTATCGTTATTATACATATATATATAAAAGTTTGCTTATTTTTAAATAGTAACTCTTTCCCACCAAAAAATTGTTGTTTACTAATTTTGGAAATTACTTACATTTTATGATATGTTTTAAATATACAATTAGGCAATTGCGGCTAATTAATTAAGGTAATAAATCAAAAAAAAAAAAAAAATCTTTTGTATATCAAGATATTCATATCATATATTTGTACTTATATATCATATATTTGTACATAAAATATCGAGATCTATCAGATTCCTAACAAACATTAGATTTACTTATATATTTTTAAACTAATCACATCAATAAATAATATTAATATACATTAAATATTTATCATTATATAAAAAAGAAATATTAATTCTATAAATGTTATAAATAATATTGACATTATACAATAATAATTTTTTAATAAAACAATATTTGAATATTATGATGAACAAAAATATGTAAAATTATTATTTTTTGTATTAAAAAATAAATATATTTGTTAAAATATTATTTATATTAATATAGACGGATCAACGGGCTAATGCATTTTTTAAATAAAATTTTGTAAAAATATTTTACATTACAAAATCCCCGTGCGGGATTCTCACTAGTTTAGTTTAACACGTTAATTTGATAGTATGACCATGAAGAAGACAAATAGCAAAGCACCTGAATAAAATTAAAAGCACTAAAAAAACAAAAACTATTAAGATGTAAAGAGACAATGATATTTACTTGAAATAGCAACTAAAAATCAAAAAACAAAACATTTGATTTCTCGCCTATAATATTTACTATATTGAGTAATATTTTTGGTCAAAATTTGAAATATCCCGCCTAAATTAATGTAATTAATATACATAACCATTTGGTCAAATATTGCGGCAATTACCTTTATAAATTGCATGATCTTAATTTAGAATATAATATATTGACAAAACTTGCAGTTATTATCTTTATTAATTGTATGATTTAAATCTGGTATAAATATATTGAAAAAAATAAAAATATTTTTATTTAAAATTTAAAAAAAATAATTATTCATAATTTGCAGGTCAATAGTAACTTGGACGTAAATGAAATAGTCAACTATTTATAGTTTAATATATTATTCAAGTAGTTTAACCTTTTTACTTGAATAGCTTATACAAAAATAGATTATTTTATGTAATAAAACGATATAAATTTAATATTTATACTTATTATTCACACAGGGTGTTAAACATATGATAATATTTTACCAAAATAACTATTTTATAGAATCACATTATAGTCAAATCGAATTTCTGAATAAAAATTTTAACTGATACTTATTTTGAAACGAATATAATGTGATTTATTATCAGTTATGTGCCTAGTGTATATTAATTTTGAATAAAAATATATAAAATAGTATTATTAATGTAAGGCAACATATACACAACGGTTAGATTACGGTTACCCATCAGTCAGTTCGATACCTACCGATCGAAATGTCATAATAGAAATAACTGAGTCAAACTTTTAAAAATTCTAACCGACCGAACTTTTGTCTCAAACCGCGCTGGGATCGAATCGAAATAATCGGTTTATTCAGTCGGTCAACCGAAATAATCGATATTAATTATACCTTACAATATAAAAATATATATATTTTAATATTTTCTAATACTTTATATAATATTTTTTTGAAAGTAAATAATATATAAAAATATATAAAAAACATTACTTTTTATACATGTTGATCGTTTCGGTTATTTCGGTTATTTTGAAAACAAAAATGAAACAAAAAATAAATAACTGAAACTTTAAAAGTAAAAACCGACAACCGAACTGACATATTGATATGGTCCGAGATCGGTGGCTCCGGTCTTACGGAAAGTTCTTCCCGGTTATGGCGTGGTTTGCTTGATTCGGTCCGGCCCAAGCTTGCGTGTTCTCCGGTACCTGAAAGCGCGCCGGAATTTCTCCGGCGCAAACCCTCCGACGCCCAAGTTAGGATCTCGGATTTTTAGAGAGAGTTGTATGTAGTAAATGTTGTAGTAATGATATTAATGAAGTCTTACCAACCATTATTGCGGTCTTTCCTTTATATAGTGCTCTCATCCGACTTATACGTTCTAGAATGTTCGTTGACCAGTCATAGCTTACTTGGTCTTATTGCTGTCCTTCAACCCGCGTCACACTCCGACTAGCGGGTCGAGTTATTCGACCCTCCCTCTCTTCGGGTCGAGCCCCTCGACCCCCTTGGGCCGATCAAGTCTCTCTGCTGGCCCTTAATCGACGTTCGACCCTCCCTACGCGTTCGACCCCTGGGTTTTGGTCGCATGGGTCGACCACTGGGCCGGTCGACCACATAGACTGTTGATCACGTAACCGCTCGACCCCGTAACCGGTCGAGCCTATAGTCGGACGGTCTTTTGTCCTTGCCAACTTAGTATTATGGGTCTTTCCCAAATAGGACCGGGTGGGTACTATAATCCCTATCAACTACTCCCCCTATTTACGATCGTACGAAGTGACATTCGTTATGATCGTAAATATTAGTCTTTGCGTGCCCAACCATCGTTATGCAAATTTGGTTACCGTCACCCTCGTGAGGTTGCCGGCGCACTTTTGTTTGTACGCCGTAAGATCCGACCCCTCTCGGTTGACTAGGGACACAGTTTGACTTTAAATGCTCTTTGACCCATGTTCTTTTTTCCCTCCCCAAGGTCTCACCTAATATTGCTATCCACCATAGATCTTACATCTCACCTACCAACATCCTATGGACCTTATTTTTCCAACCTTTTCCCTCTCTCTCCTAAACACTTTATCTCCTTCCCTCAAACACTTTCCTCTTCCTTTCTCTTCCTTAACCTTCCTTTTCTCTTCAACAATGGC